ATTAACGTCGGTGTACTGAATGGCCTTGTGTGCGAGCGAGTCTACAGTGCCGAGCTGTTTGCGCGACAGAAAGTAGCCGGCAAAGGTAGCGCATGTCAGCGGCATGTTCTTGTCGAGCTTGAAAGACTTCTGGGTGTACTCGGTCATTGCTTTCTTGTATAGGTGCAGGAACTCGGGACTGTTCGTAGGGATGCGGCTGCTGGCGTCAAGATGGTAGAGACCGAGAAGAATGTTTCCAACCTTGTGCTCGGGGTTGATCTCGATGCATCGCTCCCAAGCAAGTTTAGCATCGTCCTTGAAGCCCAACTGCCAGAAACAGCAGCCAATGCCTATCCTCGGATCGGGGTCGACGAAGTTTGGCATCTTCTGCAGAACCTCTTGGTAGCTTGCCAGGGACTCCGGATACTTTCCGAGTGAAAAGAAGGTTCGCGCCTTGCCCATTACAGCGAGCATATTCTTCCCTTGCGATACTCGGATGGCGTCTTCGAAAGCCTTGAGTGCTGATCGCAACAAGTCCGCCTTTTCAGAGTCCACCTGCCCGTGACCTGTCGCCTTAGGGGTCTGCAGAGACGCTCTAAGCAGCTGCAGAACTCCGCGAGCTAGGAACAGAGGAGGGTACGCCGGGTTGATGCGCGACGCATCGTTTAGCGTAGAGGTCGCCAGTTGCAGGTAATATTCTTTCGTCTTGGCTTCGGAAGCCAGCTCGCCATCGGGCGGCACTCTGGGCGCTTCGCGACTCTTCCACAGATACATCCAGCAGAGGCATCCAATCATGCTAAGCTTTTCTCTGGGGTTGTTGTCGCGCATCGCGTTTCCACCTCGGACCAGCATCTCGATAGCATGGTCAATCTTCTTCTGCTTGGCGTAGGCCAATGCAACGGTCATCCAGTAGGTTCGAGCGGCGCGTTCGTTTTCGAAAAGGGTGCAAAGTTCGGTAGGATCATCGAAAAGCTCGAGAAGATCGATTTCGACGGCTTCGTCTTCGGCTTCGCCTTGAACCGGGACGTCGATGGCGGCTGGGATGTCAGAGAACCGCTTACTGACTGGCGCGCTGGCTGCGCCATTGGTGCCATTCATCGCGCCGTTCCTGAGGACTGACATTTTGGCGGATGGGAGGCTATGACATGCCTCGGATAAGTTTGGTGATGAAGTGGATGGAAAGTGAGGCAATCCAGAAATTCGGGGGAAGCTGGGATGAGGCTGAGAAAGATCAATCCGTCGCGTAGCACTTGCCTGCCACGCCTGCTCAGTCGGCCTTGCATATGGGTCCATAAGAGACGCTAGGGGGGGTACTCTTGCAGCGCAGCTGTTGACCAACGTTGCTCAAGTTTTGATTGGTCAATCTGCCATGAGATGTCCGTGGTACAGGTGTCGCAGGCCAACTAAGGGCCCTGTGATATGTACTGGATACTTTAATGCTCACTTACACATTCTCATGCATCAACTTGCTACAAGATGAGTTATCCTACAAAATAGCCAAGCTTTCCAAGTCAAGATGATTTATTGCAATTATATGCGTGAACTTCTCGGATGGTTCTGTCGATATTTTTTCTATGACACAGCCATTGTGCAAGCGAATAAGAATCATATGTTGACTGGGAAAGAGGTGAGAGTTCTGGCTTATCACTGTTGGCAGAAAAAAAGAGGAAAACTTCTGGTCCTACAACAACTCTTTCGCTAGAAGAACGAGCTTAAACTGCCGATACTTTTAGAATAAAGATTGAAATAGGGCTTTGGACAGTTCAATAAGCCAGCGGGGTAAGGAGCAACTGAGGTTGCCCTGGTTGACCAACAGAGGCAGGCGCGCCTTCACTGTCAACTTCCCAGCCTACCACATACAAACTTGGTTCTTTCACACCACCGTTCACTTAGGATTTTACTTTCTCGAAAAGTGAGATCGACTTATCTTCGTCTTTTCTTCTCTATCATTTCAGCTGAAAGAGGTATCAAGCCAGCATTCGACCACAATTGCGACCCTTCAAACAGCTTTTATCTGCTTTACGGCTCACCATGCCGGCCATTCCCCAACCCAAAGCTGGGAGAGACAGCGATGGCGTTTTGGAGGATTCTGTTCACGGTTGGGTCACCAAATTCCTGACAGACCGACAGGTTGAGGAACCAAGCGGTCCATTGCCCCCAGTATCTCCAGTGCCGCCAGGATCTCAAGTTCAGTGTTCTGGATGGGGATGCCTCAGTGAAGCACAGCAGGCTGGGGTTCTTGTCACCATTGTTGTGGTATTCCTATCTCTCTTTCTTGGTCTGATTTTCTTTCTACGATCGAAAAAGAAGCAGGACAATTGGGTTGATGGTGACCTCATCCTTGTCCGGACCAGAAGACGACCGAGACCCAGAAGCCAAGCGGCCTCTATCAAGTCACAGCACTCGCGCTTCTTCTTCAGACATGAGGGACTGACAGGCACGCAACAGCCTCCTCAAGTATTGATCGCTCATCCGACAATTCTTCATATTTCTCCACCTCCTCCTCTGCCAGTCCCGGTTCCCCTTCCCATGCCAATGCCGATGCCATTCCGACCACCTCAACCGATCTACCCCTATCCGATGGCTTATCAGGCGAACCAGGCAAATCAGTACTATCCGATGAGGGCGCAAGCATTTGGAAACTCTCAAGAGCCCTCTGCAGTCCCGGCATTCCCGATCAATGCCCAGTACCAACAGCAACCGCAGCCTTATCCTCTAGCCCAGCAACACCCTCATTATCCATGGAAACAGGGGCCTGGCCTTCAGCAAAGTGAGCAGCGCTCTCAACAGCCCCCGCGAAGAAGGCTATCACTTGCCCGAAGGCTCTTCAGTCTGTTCAACAACCCAGTCGGTAGAGCGTCAACCATTGCCAGCTCTGACTCGGACTCAACCCGAGCTCCATCCATACGCAGCAGTCACCATTCGAGGACCTCAGCGACATCTGTTGCTACGCCGCCTTCTCCTGAAATGCGGATCAAGAGGACTGCAGCGCATGGAGCAGACGCGATGAGACCGCTTGAAGTGTCTCCCGCGGTTGCCACTGTCCAGAGTGACGACTACGTCACTCCTACAACTATACAGGATGCTTTGTCAGTCCCAGCCAACTCGGGTAGCGAAGTTCAATGTGAACCGCAGGGGAAGGCCGCCACCACCGAGTCTCCGGTCAAGAAACAAGTTCAGGCTGAGCGTGATAATACAAAGACATGTCCGACTTCCATACCGATCTGCGAAGACACCGAAACTGCTGGAACTTATCCTAGTCGCCCTGTCGCCAAGCCCCTTAAGAGGTATGATCTCTCAACTACAGTCATTAATGGAGAGCTGACGAGACACAGTGCCCTAAAGAATGGAAATAAATCAGCTGCAGGAGCCAGATTATGCAATACGAAGAACGATCAGAAGCCCTCGGCCAAAGAAGATAGGTAAGATACATCTCAGCCTGAGCTCTCGATATCTACTGACCTGGCCAGCGATCATGTGGGCTTCGCGTCTAGTCGCACCGTCACTTCGCCAATGGCCGCGGAAGCCAGCTCGAGCAAGGGCAAAGAGTAAAGCACTTCTTCATCTTTGATTAGAACCGTGAGCTGATACGATTGATAGAAAGCGGCAGCAGGGGAAATCCGTTGATAGACATAGCCCCAAGGAGAACGCAGTCCGCGAAGTTAGTCGAGATCATCCAGACGTCTTAGGTACAGCCGTACGTTCTGCCGAGGCGCTGAAGAAGCCAGTACCGGATCCTCAAAGCAGCCCGGTCAAAACAACAGAGAAGACACATGACCAGAGCTCGAGTCCCAACCAGCACTTACGGAGATTATCGAGTAGAACTGAAGAGCTTCGGTGAGCCACATGAAAATGAATCGTTAAAGGAATGACAAGTGGATGCTGACTGATATTGAGATTCGACGTGTCTTGTTCTGATGTCACGGAGACCAGTGACTCGCTGAGCGACGACTCGCCGCCTCCGTCTCCTCCGAGACCAATCCACCAGGGCGGCGGTAAGTATGCTCCTGAGCAGCTGCGAAGGAAGCCATCAAGAAGAGCGTACTAGGTTACGGTGAAAGACTTATGACTGTGTTTTTGACACGAACGGGCGGCGAAAAAGAACGGTTGATGCACGAAAATGGGGTTCCCTGGAACGACTATGGAACAAGGTTCGGACCTTACGAAGTATCGTGCACTTCAGACAGCGACCTGGTTTCTGGCTAAGGGCTGGCGGTTTTGGTCCCGACAAGATAGGTGGAATAGCATGTGTACCTGGCCACTTGCCTCACCAAAGCTTGTTTAGAACCGATTTAGATAGGTATTGGGGTTAGGAATAAGGGTTCAGATGTGCTGCAAGGATGTAGAGCAATGCAGACAGACGGCTCGTCCATGCCCAATGGAATTCAGAGATTTGTGCAGCTGTGGTTCATAAGATATGCCGAGATGTGCATGAGTTGGAAAGCACAGAGAAGCCCAGCGGGATGTTTACTGCGGTAAAGCAGGGGTAACTTGGTAAGACAGGTATCTGTGTCACTTTGGCCCGTGCGCGATGAAGGTGAGATACCTTGTCCGGGTGCGTATGACAAAAGCAGCAAGCAGCAGAAGCAGGGCCCCCAGGGGAGGTGGCTTCGTCATTGCCTGCTACTCCGGCCGGAAAGGCACTTGCTGCACCCTGGAGCTCACCTTAGTCCAACCTCGCGCAGCCCCGATCACCTCTCCCCACGCTGCCGCCCGACAAGTCTGCTTGTCCGTATCATAACTCTCTTTCAACCGACCTTTATTCCGTCAGCCTCAAGCCTTTCACTTTTTTCTGGGACAGCTTTCAACATTAACCGGACGTTGCGATCATCAACCGCATGCTTGTCGCATGCCGACAGACAAGTGCCTTCCATCATTCCCACCCCTCTTCCCCCCCGCAGCTCCCGGCTCAGCTGCGCATCCCCGATTGCGCATCCCGTTTGAGACTGCAAACCCTTCTGGACGATTGAATATCGACCTATAGCTTTGTTTGCTATTCCTTCCAATCCGACACCGAAACGATGTGGAACGATGAGGATAATAATCCCTATGCCGAGGGCTTTGACCGGAGAGACAGCCTGACTTCCTCTTCTGCCAACCCAGCCTCTCCTACTACCCGTGAGTGTATGTCGCGATTCTACCCCAGCTCAATCCTCGTCGTTTTGAAGATTTCGGAAAATGATGGAAACCATAGATCTGGATGATTCTTCAGACAGTACTGATGCCGACTGGGAGACTCTAGACCAGCGATTCGACATCCCTCAGACCCCGTCGACCACAAGCGATGAGGCTCCTCAGAATCGCTCCCATACCCTCCCAGACAGCGAAGCTGAGAGCAGCGACAATGAGCCGATTGCTAGAGACAGAGGCGATCTTGTCCCGCGCCCCAAGCCCGGCGGCTACGAAAGCCGCGTCGAGCAGATCCTCTGGGAGAATCCGAGCATGACTATTCTCATTACGGATGCAGGAAAGAGCGCGGAGAGCGGTGGAAAATACATTGTCTACACCATCCGGACAGGCGTATGTGGCTGTGCGATGGATCGCTCCCTCGATAGTTGGGGTACTGACTGTTTCATAGAACCTCGAAGTGCGCCGACGATACTCGGAATTCGCGTCTTTGCGTGAGGCATTGACCCGGCTGCATCCTACCCTGATTATACCCCCAATCCCCGAGAAGCATACCATGGCAGACTACGCCGCGAACCCTACGAGCGCAAAGCAAGATCAGCAGATTATCGACCTGCGCAAGCGCATGCTTGCCGTGTTCCTGAATCGATGCCGCCGCATGGAGGAGATCCGAACAGACGGTGTTTGGTGGAGATTCTTGGACCCCAATGCTAGCTGGGTAAGTTGAAAAGATCTTCTCCACAGTGATCCGGTAGCTGATCTATCGCAGAGTGAGGTCCTTCACTCTCATCCAGTCGCCTCAGTGCCCAAGTCAGTCCTGAAGGCGCCACCTTTGGATCCTGCGAACCCTACACCTGCTCACAACTTCCTTCCCGTACCATCAGCTTCCGCTAAGCTCAAGACGACGGGCGGCCCTGGTGTCGATCCCGGCGCGATCGCTGGAACTGGGTCCCATGTCTTTGGCCGATTCCCTCCCGACAGCCACACCCTGAGCGAGCAAGAACTTGACCCTTACTTCATCACATATGAGGCATCGATCAAGGAACTGGAGCAACTGTTGTCGGGGTCCATGGAGAAGGTCAACCGTCGGACCCTGAGCCACCTGTCTGCACTGGCCGCCGATCTTTGCGAACTGGGCTCCAAGTTTAATGCGTTCGCGCTATCAGAACAGGCACCCTCTTTGGGCCCTGCCCTCGAGAGAGTGGGACAGGCGGCCGACTCCTCCTACATCGCTACTGAGGAGCTTTCTGGATCTCTCGGTGCCAGTTTCGCAGAGCCTATGCGAGAGAATGCGCAGTTCGCAGGTGTTGTTCGCAGCGTGCTGAAGTACAGGGTGCTCAAGCGGGTGCAGCAAGAGCAGACTAGCGACGAACTCAGCAAGAAGATTGCGCTGCTGGACCAACTAGAGCGCAGCGAGCAAGAGGCCAAGCGCATCGAGCAATATCTCAGCAGCAGCCAGCAAATTGCGCCAGCGCCGAAGCGGTCTACAAGCCTTAGAGAGGCTAACACATCACACCATCAGCGCGAGGGCAGTGCCGAAGACACAGCTTCCATCGACTCCGACTTCCCTCCTACCCATGGCGAGCCGGTCCCGACCGCGACCCAGGGTGTCCCGCAGAGAAGCAACTCAACTCCAGGCCATAAGAAGGCCGCGAGCAGCAACTCAATCACGAACAAGATTTTCGGACCGATTCGTCACGCTATTCAAGGTGTAGCTGACGTCGACCCCGAGAGAACTCGTCGTGACATGATTGGAAAGACAAGGGAGAGCATCGAGCAGCTTGAGCAAGCCAAAGTGGTCTCTGAGCATGATGTGAAGGAGGCTAGCGCAAGCATTTTGAAGGACTTGAAGAGATTCCAGGGAGAGAAGGAAGAGGACCTTCGTCGTTACATGGTAAGTTGATTGATCAGTACAGTACTAGGAGCGAATCCGTGCTGACCCGATTTATCACAGCTGGCTTATGCCAAGAGCCAAATTGAGTGGGCCAAGAAGAACAAGGAGACCTGGGAGGATGCCAAAGCCGAGGTCGCCAAGATTGACGAAAGTTGAGGGTATGTTTGGTTCATTAGGGAGAAAGGGAAAACGCGCAATGATATCAAAACAGACAAGGCTCAGAGGCCTCGAGCTGTTTCCAATAATTTGATGAGGCGTTGAGTCTATCGGGTGGCTGACGTGGGACAAGCAAGACTCATTTGGCGTTTACGAGGGATTCGACATTCGTAAAAGTCATGGGATAGTGAAAGGCAATTAATCAACTCAGTTCAAAGTACTATACTCGAAATACGTCACGTTTTCCAGTGTTTGGCCTCGTTGGTCACAGAGTTGGCCTCAATGAGCGGCTGTACCTCTCTCGCAAGCCTTGTCGATGAGGCTGTAAGAGGTATCTGTTTTAGGCAGAGCCTTCGAATCCTGTGAAGAGCTCATTTATCCAGGATGTGAATTCTGAGAGACCACGGAGACGGTGTTGATGCACGGACGGTCTTATCTCTGTGCCTTATCGATAAGAGGCCGATAAAGCTCCGAGACTTTGGTGTCGCGAGGCTACCTAGACCAACGGAGGACCGGAACCGACTTGTGCTTCCTTCTCTCCCCCTTTTGCGCAACACCAGAAAAAAAGGTCCATCCGCAACCATGGATGGCGTACAGGGTCCGCCTCCCGAGGGCCCGATTGCCTCGATCGCAGAACCGGGCATCAAGGCCGACGGTCAACTGCTGTTCGACTTGCGCCGCGAGGTCGCCAATCTCTTGCATCGCAACCAGACCAGCTTCCCCGGCGCGCAGCCCGTCAGTTTCGCGCGGAAACACGTCGATGAGTTACGGAATAGAGAGTGAGTGCTCCTTGTCGCGCCGTTCATACAGGCTCCAGCCTCTGCACACGTTTATTCGGCGAATGCCTTTGGCTACCGGAACCATGATAAACGGAGGCTGGGAGGAATTAGTGATTCGCAACTCTTTTCGCTGACAACTAACGCGCTCGCGAGCGCGACAACAGCTACTATGTTTGCGAAAAGTCAGACGGCATCCGGTACCTGCTATACCTCACGGAAGACGAGGGCCGGGAGATCCACTACCTAATCGACCGGAAAAACGACTACTGGTTCATCAAGAACAGCAGCTTCCACTTCCCGCGCAAGGACGACCTGACCAAATTCCACACGCGCACGCTCATCGACGGCGAGCTGGTCATGGACGACACGGGAAAGGGCACAAAGGAGCCGCGGTTTCTCGTCTTTGACTGCCTCGTGCTGGACGGACAGGACCTGATGTCGCGGACGCTCGACAAGCGGCTCGCCTACTTCAATGAGAACATTTACAAGCCCTACCGGGACTTGTTCAAGCAGTACCCGGAGGAGCGGGATTTCCAGCCGTTCCTGGTGGAGATGAAGGCCATGCAGCTGAGCTACGGCATCGAGATGATGTTCCGCGAGATCCTGCCCAAGCTGAGGCACGGCAACGACGGGCTCATCTTCACGTGCGTCAGCAGCGAGTACAAGCACGGCACCGACCCGCACATCTTGAAGTGGAAGCCGCCGGAAGAGAACACGGTCGACTGCCGGCTGCGGATGACGTTCCCCACGGTGCAGCCGGGGGAAGGGGACGAGGAGGCCGAGGGCCCCTTTGTGGACTACGAGGCCGTGCCGCGGGCGGAGCTGTGGAGCTTCATGGGGGACGGGCGGTATCAGTTCTTTGACGAGGTGCATATTACCGAGGAGGAGTGGGAGGTGTTGAAGGGACTCGGGGACCCGCTCAACGACCGCATCGTGGAGTGTCACAAGGACGACCTGGGCCGGTGGCGGATTATCCGGTTTCGCGACGACAAGTCGGAGGCGAATCACATTTCTACCATCAAGAGCGTCATGGAGAGTATCGAGGACCGGGTTACGGAGAAGGATCTTGCGGAGGCGGCTAAGGGGATCAAGGATAATTGGAAGACGCGGAATGCCAAGCGGTAGTCTTTTTATCGTTTTTCCCCCTACGCAAAGAGGAAGAAGGGATGAGTGAAGAAGAAGCAGATGAGAGATATGGCCAAATTCCAGGGGTGGCGCGGTACGGGGGTTTGAGGAACCATGGCGTGGATGATGTGTGAGTACTGTACGTGTGCGGGTCAGGATTGACGAAGGCGTCTTGGTGTTGTGTTTTATGCAAAAAAAAGCCTCCCCAAGCAAGAAACAGAGAATACGGAGGGGAGGTCAAAAGAGACGAGGGCGGAGGTTGAGATACTGCCTCCTTTCACGCAACCCTCATCAATTCTCTACTCTGTCGATGTCCGGCTAGGATGTGAGCATGAACTATTTTTTGGCGTTTTCTAGCTTATAGGATAAGCGAGGAGGGCATACCGGTTTCCCGGGGGCATGAGAGTGTATCGAGTACCTTTGAAATAAAAAGAGTAATTCGTATTGCTAGAAGGGACTCCTATTTCTTGAAGCGACGCCAACTGGCCAACCCCCATGACCTCTTGTAGGGGAAAAGGGATGCTGATTGCACTCTTTCCTAAACATGACCAAGTTGTATGTGGTGAAATACTTGTTCCACAATCACGAGCCAAAAAGCCCAACAAGGGATGACATGGAAGGTTTCGCACCCCATTGCTCGCTGCCATTCGCTTTTCCTTGATCCAGATGGACGTGTGATTCAGATCTACCAAGGCCTGGGTAATTCCTCCTCGCTGGGTTGGTCTCACTACCACCAGAAAATGTAGACATGGAAATGTCGCGGCAGGTGCTGACATGCTCCCGTCGCCATCCCCGACAAAGGTAATGAGAATGGATGGGTTAAACCGGTGCTCGGCACCTTACCTTAGGTAAGAGCTCCAGCTCTCCCCAACAAACCATCAAGCTCAGGAAACAAGTGTGCGCCGCCCCCCGCACCAGGTAGTAGGTAGTGTCTGAGCAGGCACGGACACTGGGACTGCCTTCCGTAACCTCGAAGACGTCACGAAAGAAAGCCAAAAGCTTCTCGTTTCTCAGTCTTACATTAGCCCACGCCGTGGGAAATCGATTGTTTGGGCGGCCAAGGGAGGGATGGAATGGCTCAAGGCAGTGCCTATCGAGAAAAGTCCGAAGCTACAACCTTGAAGCCATTATCCTGGAGACAAGCTCCCCTCCTACCATCGACCTCAGTTTTTGCTTCAATCCTCAATTTCCTTTTCTTCCTCTCTTCCAGATTTGTCCTGTGGCTCACGATAAATCCAATTGGCGCCTCTGATACAAAACGACCACCTCTGCACCGCAATTTTATAATCTACGTAACGTCACGCTTGGAATAATAAGTCGGCCCACGGTTCGGTGCAACAATTGCAGCGCCGCCGCCCACCATGATCCTCGGACCGGTATCACTGCTCGACTGTCTGGTCTTTGTCATCTTCCTGACGCCGCAGCTCCTCATCAATGTCGGTTTCTTCCCAACGGTAGTGGTCACTCTGAAGATGCTGCCTTTTCTCGTGTTTCAACTGCCGACGTCCCTGTTCCACGAGCGATATCTACTCAGCCACGATGAGCAGTCGCCTTTTGTGCAGCGCGCGAGTTTCTTCGAAGATTTAGTCATACGCTGCGTGCGTTACGCCTTTGCAAACTTGCCAACCAATATTGGACGTGTCTTCTTTTCAAAGTACATATCTCTGCCGTTTCTGCGGTTTCGAATGCTGCGGCATGGCTATCTCAGGTCACCTGCGACCTGGAGTGAGCACAAGGAAAAGGTGAGTGTAACCTACATCTCAGTGCACAATGGCCGGTGGCTGACTTGAATGATAGGGCCAACACGGCTTCGAAGGGGTTTGGATCCAAAAGGATGCGTCACAACCGCCCGACATTGTGGTATACTACGCCCACGGAGGCGGTTTTGCCATGGGCTCCGCGTACTTTTACCTCGAGTTTCTTCTGTCGTGGCACTCGTTACTCGTCCAAGCCGGCTACCGGAACCCTGCCATATTCTCTCTAGAGTACACCCTCGTGCCCGATAAAATGTACCCAAGGCAAATGTACGAGACTTTGAGGGGCTATAAGCATGTCCTGAAAAAAGTTGGAGACCCTCGGAAGGTGGTCGTTGCAGGAGACTCAGCGGGAGCAACCCTGATATTGACGCTGTTGCTGGAGCTGGGTCACATGAACGAGGCCCGGGCATTCAAGGAAAAGAGTGACGATTCCACCGCATCTGAAGGTCGAAGTCAGGAGCACTTGCGTCAAGCCTCAGAGTCCCCGCTTCCAGGGCTTTGCGTCTTGATTTCGCCGTGGGCCAAGCTCATCTCCAACAAGCATGAAAATACGGCCAGCGACTTTCTGGATCGCGACACGCTATGGAACTACGCGGTGCAGTATGCTGGGGCAGCGCATGTCTACGACAAGACCGCGTCGCCTGGGCAGTGCGCCGATCCTCGGGTGTGGGCGGAAGCTAGTCCACTTTGTGGCTTCTTCATCACGTACGGATCAGAAGAGGTGTTCGCACCCGACATCAAGGACCTGATTAACGTCTTGGTCAAAAGTACCGAGGTCGACAGTCGTAGCGAGGATGGCGGGATACACGCCTGGCCCGTTGTTTCGTTATTCCTGTCAAGCACCGAAGACAAGAGACTCAAGGGTCTGCGGACACTCACGTCAGCCATCAGAAAACACATCCAGTAGAAAGCCTATTAAAGGCAGATTGCCGTTTTTAGAAAAAAAAAAGTCTGATTAGATCAAGTAAAAACTGTCATAGACCGAGGCACGCCAACCTCGAAACCTGAGTTGGGATAACTCGGTTTCTACAGTTGTGGCCTCTTGGGGTGGTCTCCAGCTGTTTCTCTTCGTTATCTTCATCCCTGGCCACCAATAGGATATGGTGTAAACAATAGAATTTAGTGGTTTGATTACCTGCATGATTGAGTTGCGTTCCTGCATACCGGGCCGTCCGCCGACAGGAAATTACGACGGTGGTAGGGTGATATCTGTTCAGAAAAACGTTGACAAACATTTCGCGAAAACGCGTTGAAGGATGCAGATAAGTTCTTCGTAGGTGGACCCACTGCAAAGTCGCTTCGGCGGGAAGGGCGATTGGCGACCTACTCCGTAGACGGGGGGGCATTCACTCAAGGTGCCGTCGCAAAGCTCAGACGGGCAGGGAGCTGTGGTGGGTCTCGGATGAAGTCATGTGTGGTTCAAACACTGACGAGTCGAGGAGCGCGACGGCTTTGCGACAGAAAACATCTTTTTCGGACGACGGGGTTCCTTGATGATGGCGCGCTGCAGAAAGAGCTCGTCTGCCTAAGGAGCAGGGAGGGTGCCAGCTCCAGGCAGCATTGAGGGCAGATGGCGGCGGGGTTCGACGATGTTGGGTGTCTCATGAAGACAAAGCAAGCTTGTACGTAGGTCAGGGCCACGAGGTATAAAGGCATATCGAGAATGAAGAGTAACGAGACAAGACTTTCTCGAAGTCCAAGGTTGCGCAAATGCCAGGTCTAGAATCTGAAAACAGGGGCCGAAACGACATGATGGGAGCTGGGGCTGAGACGGTAAAAGAGATCAGCCAGCCTGCCGTGGCCTACCTTGCTTCGGTTGAGCCATCCTTTTCAGCCTGCCTCACGTTACTTCGCGCCTCGAGATGCAGCTACGTCTGCGAGGTTGCGACATGCGGCGGTAAGCTGGGACGAAGGGGGAGACATCGACCATGTGGCGAAATTAGTGATGACGCCGATGAGGTGCGAGTATTTTTGGGCGCGAACAGGATGACTCAAGAGATCCCGGTAGGTTGGGAGAGGAAGAAGAAGGAGGAGAAGGAGAAAAGAAGCGTTGTTCAAGAAATGGAACTGGAGAAGGACGTGCCGACGTGGGCGCAATGTGAACATTCGGGACGCCTTGAAGATACCTTACCTTCCGTGCTCCCTGAGGGAAGGAAGGTGGATGGCCAGGCAGGTACCAACAGAGCTTAATTAGCACAGAAAGGTACAGAGGCCGTCAAGCAGGAGACTAGCGGCTGTGCTCATGCAGGATTTGGGAAGGCGTGGCCACAGCTCGGGCATCCTGACCCAATCAGCATAGCAGCGTGACCCCTGCCTAGGCGTGTTTTTTGGGGGGAAAGCAGAGGGCAGCAAGAAAGGGGAGTTGGGAAGGAGCTCTGACCCGCGACGCGCATATAAACGGTGGACATTCCCACCGTGATCCATCGCCAGGAGTGAAGGAACCCGCACACCGCGAAAAGAAGGAGCCCACCCAGCCGCTGGCTGCACCTGCCACCGACCGCACCGCACCCGCACCTACCGCACTACCGCACCGCATCGCCGTCCGCCCCTCCGCAGGTTCTCGACCCGTCGCGTCGTCCCACGGCCATCGCTCTTTCCCTCCCATTCAGTGTCCTTCCTATCCAATCATTCCCATTCGTTCCAGCCCATCTACCACCTCAATTTCCAGGGCAGGTTGCAAGAAGGTGCACACTTGGTGTGCTTGCGCCCAGAGTGTGCCTCCCTGTACTTTTGTGTGTCTGCGCCTACCTTACCTACTTGCCGCCTGGCCTTGCCTCGTCTGCCTGTCAGACCGACTGCATCCTTCCCGATGGACGCATGTCAACTTTGAGGCTGTATTGAGTCAACCTTGACACCTGGATCTTGGAAAAAGATCAACGCCAACAAATCCTCCTCCTTCTCCTACTCCGTACATAACTTCACTTTACAATCCCGTTCAAACGCAACCTCCCCTTTCCCCCATCCTGAACACCTCCCACCACTATATCAGAGCATCAGGCCGCTTCCGAAAGTACCGCTGCTGCCCCGCACAGGAACGCCTGACGCCGTCGCACGCCCCAGGACTGAACCCCGAAAGCCCCAAGCTTACAGAACTCCCTTCACCCCTGGCTCGCTAGACACACCGAAACCTTATTGAGTGTCACTCCAAGTCTCCAGGTCTGACTCAGCAAAAACGCCATTTACACACCTTGGATCAGTAGATCACCTATCTGGCATATCAACATCTCGGACAAGCTTGTGTCACAGCCACGCTCCCGACGTCAGTCGGTATTTATCGCCCCCTCAGGCTACACTGAGTCTCTCACTCTCACGCGGTCTGGCATACGTAGACTGCATCCGAAGCAATACCAGGATTGGCCAGTTGCGACGTTGGGTCTCGACATCCACGCAGACTCACTGAGAGCCCAGTGAGCCTGGATCTTCTCTGTACTGCAAGTGGCCGGTTCATTTTGCTGGACCTGGGACGCAGTTTTTAACCTCGATTTGCAAGTTTGCAAAGCAGTTATCCGGACAGTCCTGCTCAACATCCTGCCATCCACCGTTTAGGTCCGGTACACGGTTGCAAACAGGCTAGGGTACTGAGGATACTACGAATCCCTCATGTTGTAGGCCGTTTATTGGCTTTGATCTCATCTCTTCGTCATTTGCTCTTGTATCGCAGCGCTGCCCAACACGTTGGCCGAGGCTGCCTTACACACGCAAAACACCCACACTTCTCACAAGTCGATTGCGCTCTGTCTCGCCTTGTGTTCAATATTCAAGCCGAGCTTCGCAGCAATACTCTGCCTCGATTTACTGTCACCCTCGACGCGACTTGGATTGGCCATACGTCTGTGGGACCTTTACACCTTTGACTCCCAAGGATATATGACGGTAGAACAGACTGTCATTCCTTTCACCGCACGTAGCAGCCCACGCCTGAATCAGGACTTAGACGCCGTACTTTCCTGGACATATACCCACTTAACGACTGAATACGGAACACATCCATCATTAGACGCAATCACACAACCATTGCAAGATTATTCCTGCTAAAGCAAACGGTGTCGCAACCGCGGACAAGATAGAGGTGGGGGTGTAGGCTGGCTTTTGTACTCAAAAATCAGTCCCTGCCCTTCGCTTAATCATCCAGTGTCCCACGCCAGCCAAACTTGGATTGGAACCTTGGCCAATTTTTTTCGGGGCACCAGCCAAGGCCCCCTGTCGTTTGGCCTCCACTTCCAAATTGAAAAAAAAAAGCGGCCATCAATTTTTCCAGCAGGGCCGGAGGTAGAGGGGGAAAAAAGTAATAAAAATGGCGGACGACACGACCTACGCACCAAAGTCGCCGGACCTCTCTTCTTTTTTCTCGGCAGCACCCGCCCCGCCTACACCTCCACTGCACACTCACAGTCTGCAGCACTACCAGCAACAACTGAGCAAGCTCCAAACCTCTCCGTCTCCGTCTGCGTCTGCTGCACCACCGCCCGTATATGAATACTCCTCCCCCTCAGCACGCATTCACCACCCAAGCCAGTCATCTTCTACTCCTGTTCACATCAAACAAGAGCAGCCCCACTTCCCATCACCAGCGGCAATCAAAACGGAATTCTCTTCCTATCAGCCACCGCTACAACCCCACCACCACCAAGGTCAGCACCAGCACCAGTACCAACCGCTTCAGCAACAACAGCAGCAGGAGCAGCACCAACACCACCAACATTACCTATCTCCTCAATACCACCACCAGTCACCGCCACACAACCACCCATCTCCGCAATATCCCCCACCACATATGCAAAGCGCCTATGGGATACAGCCCGTTCTCAACTACCAGGAACAGCAAGCTCATCAGCCCAAAACACCTCAAAGCCACGGATTTCTAGACCAAAAAAACTTTGGCGGAGCACCCCAATTACACGATATCCCCTACAACCCAGATACACAACATCTACCACAAACACCAGCTTCAGCAACTATGCCTCCCAGAAAGAACACAAAGCAGGCTGACTCGCCACCTCCGATTGACCCATCACCCGTTCGGACAAAGTTCCCCACAGCCAGGATAAAGCGTATCATGCAGGCTGATGAGGAGGTTGGCAAGGTCGCCCAGCAGACTCCCATTGCTGTTGGCAAGGCTCTCGAGATGTTCATGATTGCTGTTGTCAGCCGAAGTGCCGAAATCGCACGGGAGAAGAACTCCAAGCGTGTCACGGCTCAGATGCTCAAGCAAGTCATCGAGACAGATGGCCAGTATGACTTCTTGGCCGACATTGCTGCAAAGGTTGGCGACGAAGAGAAGAGAGGTGGCCGCTCCAAGGCTGAGTCGTCAAGCGACGAGGAAATGGAAGTTGAGACGAAGAAGAAGGGCAAGGGCGGCCGTAAGAAGAAGGCCGCTGCATGAGTTTTCTCATGTTCAGCTTGGGTCTTGAGGCGAGGGAAGAGAAGGGAAAGGAAATTTCCCATGATGAGAAATATGAAAAGGGTTATGAGAATTGGCGTTGGACTGGCTAGCATCTACATTGGCGTTGGGTGACACGGCGATACACTCGTCGAGCCGCACCTGGGGGGAAATATTACATGGTTTACCTTATGGAACGGAGGAACAAGCGCTGCTTCCTCGACTTGCATGCCATGGACGGCTTGTCTTTCTGTATGCGCATCGAGCCTGTCTTGGACAAGTCTTCTTACGATTTTAGAATGGAAGCATTTTATCGTTTGCACACCTTTCCTCTCATAATGTGCACGGGATGATGATAAGCCGCGCCTTGAAGCGTCTGGCTGTGGTAGGTACCTTCACCAGGGGACGTCTCATGTGGAACTCATTTTCCGCTCACTCAAAGACACCCTGCTCATATGAGGTGGCTGTATTTTATTCGTACCTTATTGTGTGGTACACTGGGGCTTGACATTGTTGCCAGAGCATGC